GTGGAAATGTAACATTGACCCAATGCTATTGTAATATTGATCCACTAACGTCCTCATACCTTTTTCTTAAACAAAGAGGCTTTATATTGCAATCGTCTATCTTCCTCTTGCTTTTTTTAGTGTGTTAGTGCATATAGATCGCCCAGTATTACCGTCATGGGCCTAGTACTTCACAGTATGAATATGCCGTAAATTACTTACTCCTTCCTCCATTGATGGGTACTCTAGCTACTTCCTACTTTTGTCATTGCACAGATCCTCATACCGAATGTTAGTGGATGTTGCTTTGAATTACTGTTCAATTACACACAGTGAGAACAAATGAGGGCTTATGATGTTGAGAAAAGGTCCTGCAAAAGGAGTTAATAGGACTGGGTGTGGTGGCTCCCACTGTTATCCTAGCACTTTGAGAGGCCGAGGCAGGAGGATTGCTTGAGTCCAGGAGTTTGAGACCAGCCTGAGGAACATAGAGAGACCTCATCTCTACAAAAAATAAAAATATTAGCTGGGCACGGTGATGCACACCTGTAGTCCCAGCTACTCAGGAGGCTGAGGCAGGAGGATGGCTTGAGCCCAGGAGTTGGAAGTTGCAATGAGCTATGATGATGCCACTGGACTCCAGCCTAGAAGACAGAGCAAGATCCTGGCTCAAAAAAAAAAAAAAAAAGAGTTAATAAAGCTATGTTCCTGATTCATACAATGTGAGCTCAAGGCATGAAAGTAGCACAATTATTCAGAGTTTTCCAGCTGATAATTGTATGTTCTGGAAAAGAAAAAAAAATTAGGAAGGTTCTTGGTGAAGAACAATTCTTAGGAAAATAGCTAACATTCATGCTATCATTTTATGGGTCTAGCACTGTCTTAGGTAACTTTCGCCAGAATGCAGAGGCCTTGTTTGCTCTAAAGACCCTTTGATGGAAACAGCCAGACCTTCCCCCCATCCAGCTCCATATCCAAGGCAAAGCAACGTTCTATGGGCCAGGACACTCTTGTACATTTAGCAAACTTCCACCAGAGGGGAAGTTTGCTATTTCTGCTTTGTGTGAAGCATTTTGTACCATCTGGGCTGGCTGGATTTCAACAAAGATAGTAAAGAAACATTTATCAAGAAAAATCAAAGTCAGTCTCGCCAAGTGTGGTCTAGAGAGATTTGCTTCCTTGATACATATGCAGCTCTCTTGCTGCTGGGAAACATGACTTTGACAAGCTTCAGGAGGGACAGCGCTTTGGATCTTAGCCTGAAGCTACTGTCAGCTGCTCATGATAGAGTGGTTTTAGTAGCCAGAGCTCTCGAAGATGTGAATGCCAGCAGTCCCAGAGTCAATTCCACTCCATTCCTTCCCACAGAATTTTCTGGCCCCTTTGGTAACAGGATAGTCTCAAAACAGCAGGTGGAGTCATGCCTCAATGAGGAATGTTTGGTTCTGGTAGATGCCCAAGGAAAGGTCATTCTTAAACCATTAGTCTTGAGATTGACAGCTTCAAAATACACACTGTTATCCTGCAAAGAGCACTGAATGTCTAAACTTACCATAGAAGACTTTTTTCCCCAATGACAATTCTTGTGATGCCAATTCATAAGATGGGAGGGTGGAGGGGATTATCAGAGAGAAGGAAGATGAGCTGTTTCCACTTGCACATGTGTTGCTAATCAACCAGACATACAAGTTTCTGGCACTTTGGGGTGTCCCAGATCGTGTATTTATGCAGCTCACTATGTGATAGATGTGTCTTTCCAAGATCTCAGTCTAAAAACTGGCACGTGCCATTTTTCTTGGAAGGCTTAAGAGACAAGAGAAAGTAACAGTTTGAGATTGTATCCTATGGGGAAAATATATGGGTATCTTAAGAAATTGTCATTCTCTAGAACAGCGTGACAATGTGTGTCCTATGAACTGGCAGTATCAGCTTCACACGGGAATGTGTTAGAAAAGCAAAGGAGTAGGTCTCACTCCAGACTTACGAAATCAGAATCTATGTGTGTGTGTTGGCGGCGGGGGAGGGCTAGGAATCTGTGTCTCACAAGCCCTCTGAGTGAATCTTATGTACACTAAGGTTTAAGAAGCACTTCTCTGGCAGCGTTCAAGTGGAAAGGTCGAATGCATTTTTCTAAAGAAGAAAAACACAAGTGGTTCCATTTGACATAAGTCCATTTGGGAAATGGTTAAGTCTTCATAACAAAAATGGGTAAATGTGGTGAAAGAGGGTACTGAATGTGAATAATAATAATAATAATGAAATAGCAGTAATGTATTACTAGTTAACATTTATTTATTATTTTCTAGGTTCCAGGCTCTGTGTTAAACACATATATTCTTTATGTAATTTTACCCTCATAATGATTCATTTTGTTGATCAAGAAATTGAGGTTCAAATATGTGACCTACTGCTAAGGAAGACCCTTGCTTGCATCTTGTAGCCCTGTATCCATGACACTGTACAGCCTGCCTACTGTCTCATTAGAAATCAACTCTACTTTTAATACATTTTTATGTACTCCTTGGGGACAGGATCAACATCTTATTTTGTCTCTTACATCATCAGTGTCTAGCAGAATGCTTAGCACAGAGTAGGGACCTTCCTGTTGAACTTAACTGATCAAGGCCAAAAATGAAGAAATTGTTGCTTTTGGTGCAAGAGTGAAGTGCAACTTGCAAGCTGAGATGGAGGATGAATTCAGCCTGTGGATAATTGGAAGAAAGTGCTGTATTGCTGACATGCAGAAAAATGTCAGTGCAGAATAAGTTACAACTTGCATCCTGGTAGCCCACCTAATTCTTTTACCATCTCATTTATTCAGTCTCAACACTTTATCAGCTATATGATTTTAGGCAAACCAGTCTTATTTTTTTTTTTCAGCAATAGTTAACTGCTTGGGCGTAGGAAAATAAAGGGAAGATATTTGAATTTAAGTAGGGCGTGGGTTTTTCCAGGTAAATAAAGTGGAAAAAAAGAGGGGCAAGGGACTTGAAGTTGTTTTCAAGGGTGAAAGTGTAATGCACCGGAAAATCTAAGCTGGGGCTGAATGGAGTAAAAGAGGCAGTGGAGAGATCGAGAAAGTATATTGGGTACAATGGACAGATTGCTGGAGGAAGATTTAAGTAGGGAAATGGAGTTAATAAACTGAAAAAACAAAGTAAATGGTGTAAGACAGTGGGGTATGTGAAACTCAGACTGAGCAAGTGATGTACTTTCTGTGATAATAAGCTCCAGAGTGTGACCATGGGGGAGATGACCATGATCAGGTGGAAGCAAAGGTTGTAAGAACTGAGTGAGTGCCTAACCCTCTACTTTCCAATATTCTTTTTTCTAATCTGTTTTTCTTGTCATCTTGAATTTATAGAACTCCTGTTTTTATTGCACTTGTGGAACACTAAGAAGAAGTGTTGAATAATGACTGTGGTAATGGGCATCTTTGTCTTATTCCTGACTTTAATGGGATTTCATTTATCATGAACTGTGGTGCTATTATTTCAGATAGACTTTATTCTGTTAAGAAAATTCCCTGCTATTTCTAGATAACCACGATGATTTTGTGGTTTCCTTCTCTGACCTGTAAATATGATGAATATATTAAAAATGGATTTCCTAAAGTCAAACCATCTTTGCATTCCTGGTAGGAGTCATTATGTATTCACCTTCTAGAAGATAGTTTGATTCCATTTGGATGGAATATATTACCTGGGATTTTTCTATCATAGGTGAGGTGGTTAGCACTGTATCCTTAGGAGCTGTACAACTCTCATTTCTAGTCTCCTTCCCTTGACTACCTGCCTTACTGGCTGTTTTTTCTTTTGAGGAGAAGGAAAGAGGAGTTTATTAATTTGTTGGCAAATGAGGATGTTGGGAGACTCCTGTCTCAAAGTACCAACATTCCCAGTTACTGGCTTTTGAATGAACTCCTAATTCACTTCTTTCTGTTTCTCCAGGCTGATGTTTTATTCTCCCTCATCCTTTCTACTGGCCAGCTGCATCTACACTACTGATTCTCTGCCTCCTTTTCTTCTCTAAGTTGGCCTTACAGGCTCCTTTAGCCAGGGTGCTCTTGACTGAGGGTGGAGTCTAGCTGTGATGTTGCTGATCCTCTTCCAGCCTTTTCTCTATGGGCTGTCTGGGTGCTGATTATGGGTGACACATGAATAATAGGTTCACCTTGGCTTAGAGGGTACCTATTTACTTCTTTTTTAGCTTTTTCTTTTTGAATTGAGGTAAAATTCACATAACATAAAATTAACTATTAGCTATTTTAAAGTGTACAATTCAGTGACATTTACGGTACGTGCACAGTGTTGTGCAACTGTCATCTCTATCCAGTTACAAGACATTGTCATCACCCCTAAAGGAAACGCTGTACTCATTGAGCAGTAAGTCCTCATTTCTCCCTCTCTGCAGCCTCTGGCAACTAATAGTCCGCTTTCTGTGCCTATGGATTTACCTGTTCTGGATGTCTCATGTAAATGGAATCATACAATATGTGACCTTTTATGTCTGGGTACACGAATTTCAACAGCAGCACTATTCACAATAAACAAAAAGTGGAAAGAACTCAAATGTTGTGCAGCTGGTGAATGGATAAACAAAATGTGAGACATCCACATAATAGAATATTATTCAGCTATAAAAAGGAATGAGGTACCGATAGATGCTATAGTGTGGTGAGCCTTGAAAACATTATGCTGCATGGTTAAGAAGCCAGCCTTTCTTGTGGGCTTTGCAGTAAACAAGCTTGGAAAACTTACAGTTAATCTCGGGGGTGGCATGGGGAGAACAGTGCAAAAGTCAGCAATTGATTTTTAACCAATATATTATAGGACAGAGTTTACACCTTATCAGCTCATCTCATTTTTTATGCTTTTTTAGCTATTGATGTTGATAAAATTAAAATTCCCATTAAATAAGCGTGATGCCAGGGATGTTTCCACAGCTTCTACAGCCATCATTGGTTGGTGCTTAACATTTTGGGCACTGCTAACACCTAAACTGCTTTTTTTCTTTTTTAGTAAGAGATGCTAAAAACCTTGTACCTATGGACCCCAATGGCTTGTCAGATCCCTACGTAAAACTGAAACTGATTCCTGATCCCAAAAGTGAAAGCAAGCAGAAGACCAAAACCATCAAATGCTCGCTCAACCCTGAGTGGAATGAGACATTTAGATTGTAAGTTGAAACTGTTGCAGCCTAGCGTGGGTGGTGGAGGTGGGTTAGGGGCCACCCGAGATCAGGGGGCTTTCTCTTAGCTTCTGTTTCCTTCTCTCCCTGCTTCCCTCCCTGTCTGCTCCTCCCTCCCTCATTCCTTACTTTCCCTCCCTTCTCTTCCATCTGCATTTTTGTAATGTGAGCCAAGAAAAAATTAGAACTATTTTTTTTAATAGAGTTGAGAATGCCTGTGGTGTGGGGGAGTGGGTGGGATAGGAGACAGTGCAATGTGTTGCTAGGTGAAGACAAGTTGTGGGAGAAATGATGGATCTCAGCAAACAGGGAGTCATAACCTATGGAGTGGGGTGACAACCTCTCTAGGGTTGAGTTTGTGGGTGATGCTGGGCCCGCAGACTGCTGGGAGTTCCCCACCAGCCTCCCCTGAGCATCTTCCCTGGCCAGGGTTCCACGAATCTGGGAATCCCTTTTTGATGCATCTGAACCATATCAGGTGTTAATTATAACAGCCAGTTTACTAAGCACACACTATGTGTAATAAGCACTGTGTTAAGTGGTCTAATTTTATTGGCTCATTTCATTCCCAGTTTACCTGTGGGGCACGTAGGGGTTAAAGAATACGCTGGAAGTCCGATAGCAAATGTGGGGTGGAGTGGATTCGGCTCTGGGCAGTCTGACTTCGGCGGCCATACTTTTAGCCACTGGCTTGTGGTACCCCATCCCCATTTCCCCTCTCCTGGGGCAAAACTGGGCTCTCTTTCAGCCCCAATCAGGACATGCCTCAGAACAGACACTTTCCCCAGAGAGGCACCAACAGGATTTTTCTTCATACATCTCCTCATCCTCATCCTCAAATACACACACACACACCCAGCTATGTAATTGATAACTATATTTCTTATATGGACTGTCAATAAGATTTTCCGAACACCATGAATCCTATCAAGACATAAGACGGCAAAAGTTGTTAGACGAGTTCCTGTCACACAGGAAAAGCTCTCACTCCCTGGAGAGCTAGCCTGGGATGGAAACTGAATCCATCCACTTCTTGCAGCAGCTTGTAATCTTTTAAAGTTCCTACCGCCAGGTCTTGTCCCCTTATACGTTTCTTCTGCTTGAGAAATGACTACAACCTCCACTGACTTCTCTTTTTTCTCTGCGCAGTCAGCTGAAAGAATCGGACAAAGACAGAAGACTGTCAGTAGAGATTTGGGATTGGGATCTGACCAGCAGGAATGACTTCATGGGATCTTTGTCATTTGGGATTTCTGAGCTACAGAAAGCTGGTGTTGATGGCTGGTAAGAAAAGATTTTGCTTTGAAAGCTACAATATGGCTTGCTCTATCGAAGATGGGCTCGAGTATGTTTTCCTTTTTCTCCTAAAAGTGAAACACTAAAACAGAGTCCCAAAGTGATGGCTGGTAGATTGGATCATCCTCACACAGACATGTTTTATTTGATTCTTGTGCAAAAAAAACCAAAAAGAATTAATTAAAAATCTGAGCCTAGAGTTAGTTAAAAATCCGGGGCTTGGACGGCAGCTATGGAGAACGGTTGAGCAGTTAATGCCCCTTTTAGACACGACATGGGTTTTCCATTTGTCACAGTCCCTTCCACTCTTGCTTTTATTGCATCTGCCCCACTTTATACAATTATGTGATTTGACGGGGCCCATGGGCACTAAGGTGGCTGTCACAATTTACCCAGAAGATATGAGCAATCCACTGTCAGATTCTGATGGATAAGAAGCTGCTTCTTCATTGGGAGTGATCAGCAAGCCTGGCCAGAAATGTGCTGGGGAGTCATTGTCCTGGTCAGCTGCAGTGCCTCTTTGTGCTGAAGATTTTGCTTTGCTTCATCTCATGGCCAAAAAAAAAAAAAAGTGCTCCAAATTACCAGCAGAGAGGCTGGGTAAGCCACCTTGGCAACTGTTTCACAGTTATCGGAAAGGAATCAGATGAGATAGTCCAACCTGCACTATGGTATTGGGAAAAATGATGATGAGGGCTGCCGTTATTTCTTTAAGATAAATTGTCTCATTCAGACTTTTTCAGTTATAAATGAAAGAAAATAAAAACCAAACTGGTTTAACAAGAAGTGGAATGTACTGTCTGGACCCCACACACGTCTTCCATTGTTCATCTTGCAACTTCCCTACTTGTGTTCTATTATCTACCTTGGGCTTTTCTTCAGATACATATTGAGTGTCTAGTGGCTTCTAGAGACACATCAAGGTACCAGGCAGACACGCCCTCGTGGAGCTGAGCTTTTGGTGAGGGGGCAGAGTGGGGGGATAAACCTCAAACAAGAAATCACACAAATAACAATGACAACATGTTGAGAGACGTGAAGAAGACAGGAGCTGGGAGCGTACCCCCCAAAAAAGGTGTGTTAAAGCACACACAATTCACAAATGGTTAAAACCATAATTCTCGTACAATAGATAACAAGCATTTGTCAAGGTTTTCCTTAGCTCACTAATGAGGAGAACAGCAGGATGAGTGGCTGACTCCACAAAAGGTTGGAGATATTTGTGTAGTCAGTAGAAGGAGGAACGCTGAAATAGCTTCGCTCGGTCAAATATAAAGCTGGCTGATAAACAGCACAATAGAATCACAGTCTTTGGGGTTATCTTAACTGTCAGACTGAAAAAAAAAATGATCTCACCCCAGTTTTCTAGAAGTTAACATCTATCTCTGCAGACTAGGGAGGCCATCTGGGCCCTAAGTGCTGGTGAATAACAAGTTAAACAAAGTGATATTACAGTGAGGAAGGAGCTACCTAATTAAAAAATGCTCTAGCATGACATTAAAAGGTCACACAGTCATCTTTTTTGTTTTTTTTTTCCCCCAAGTTTTGGATTTTTTCCCTAACATATGGACGATTTGACTTCGCACGGGGCCCACCCTCACGCACTCAAAGTGGGCGTTGCTTCCTCTTTAAGTCAAGTTCAAAGAGGTTAAAGAGAAAGCATGTATGATCCCCAGGGAGTGTACATGAGACACGAGAGAACATAATAATAATAATTATAATAACAATAGCTACCACTTATTGACTCTTACTAGATTCCAGGCACTGGGCCGAACATTTCCCAGTGTCACAGAGTCACACGTTTACACAGCACTAAGCAGATGTGCGGAAAAAATATAGCTTTTTTGTTTGCTCTAAGGGACTTAGACTTTCTCATGTGGCTTTGTGACCTCATGGTGGCCGAGGAGAAAGAACCCTTCGCTGCGTGTGATACCTTCTGGGCTTCGCTGCTGGACAGGAGCCTTCCTGCCTGGTCCCAAACCAGTACCTGCCAAGGCGGAGCTGGTCCCACCTGGCTTACGGAGCAACGTTCCGGCTTCATGCTGGAGTCCCCAGTCCTGGTCTGTTGCCTCCTGTTGTGAGGTCTTTCCACACAGAGCCGTCTGTGCCCCGCTCCCAGGCCACTGCCAGGCCCCATCTCTCAGCACTTCTGGGACCCCTCATTTCTGCGTCTCCTTCATGGACAGCCAGGAGTGTTGCCTGGCTGTAGGGGGTGGTGTGCGGGTGATATTGCCCTGCTATAGGTAGGTCCCTGGCCAGGCCTCTGACTGAGGAGGGGGACAAAGCCCCTCTGCATTCTCCCTGTGCAACCTGCCTCCTCTCCCTCCTCCTTCCCAAGGTTCTCCAGGCCCCAAAGGGACGGCTTCTCCCGAATAGGCCACATCCTCCTTCCTGGGCTGGCCCCTGCCTTGAAGCAGACGGCAGGGAGCAGAGGTGGAAAAAATGTCTCAATGATAAGGGGTGGTTAAGCATCAGGAGTAAGTCCAAAATATTACTGCATTTACACTTAGATGATCATTTAATTTTCCCAATAATTCTACATGGATCATTGTTCCTAAGGATCAGAGTAGTTGAGCAATGTGTTAGGGACACACAGCTCATAAGTGACAGTGCTGGGGTTCGGGTCTGGGTCTCTGTGATGCCAGAGCCTAAGCATGTACAGATCCCATTCTGCCTGCTGATGCAGGGGTAGGCCAAGGGCTAGAGAGTAGACAGCTAGGATTTGACCTTGGCTCTCCTAACTAGACGGATGCTTTGTGACTGTAGGGGAGTTGCTTCACCTCTCTGTGCTACAGCCTTCTCCGCAGGTATTATGCCATTCATCAGATTGATTATAGCACCCACTATCCACCAGCCACCACTGCAGGGCATTGTAAATTTGATGAAATAATAGTTGGACGGGAACTTTTGCAAAATAAAAGTCCTCTTCAGATTTTACATATGAAAGTCCTCTGCAGGTTTAGGGACCAGACTTCTCAGATGCCATCTTGGCTCTAAAGGTACCAAATCCTAGATGTTGGGGTTCGTGTCCCAGGGATTCTTTTGACACTCTGTGATCTTGGGTAAGTCACATGCCCTCTCTGAGACTCAGTTTCCCCTTCTGGGAGGGCACAGGCTCCTCCAGGTGAAAGAACAGTCGTGCTGTAATTTCAGACCGTATGGCAGAAGCAGCTGTGAAAGCTCCCAGATGTGGTCGCCAGCCCCGGGCCCCTCGTCGGCCTCTTTGCCACCTGCTCTGTATTTGTTGTCAAATCCTCTGTGTTCCTAATTTCGTTCATCTATGCCATCTCCTTTCTTTCCCCTTGATTTTCCCAAGGTTCGTCTGTTTTATTCATTTATTTTCTTCAAAGAATTAGCTCTGGGACATGTATATCAATGCTGTGTTTGTTTTCTCCTTTTCTGTAGATTTACTTTGTGGTTGCCTTTGAATCTCAGTTGAGTATTTTACTAATTTATTTTTTCTCCTTTTACTTGACTCTGCTCTTTAAAAATAATGAACAAGCATTTGAGAGAATAAATATTTTCTCAAAGTTTTGATATGTCACGTTCTGGCTTTCATTGCTTTCTTGAGGTCTGCAATTGTGCTTTTAATCTCCTTTGTAACGTGCTTTTATTTAGGCATGTTTTTTAACCTCTAGAATTTGCTTGTTGTTTAAATTTCTATTGTTAGTGTTAAATTACAGTTTTAGTGCTTTTTAATACGAGAATATGGTCTGCGCATTTTTCTTTCTTTTTTTCTTTTTTTTCCTTCTTTTCTCTCCTTTTCTTTCAGTTTAGCTTAGCGTATGTTCAATGTTGCTAAATGTTCTGCGGACATTTCAATAAAAAGGTATTTACTGTTTGTAGGGTTTGCATTTTAACATTTATTCATTCCACTGTACTATAACGTCCAGATCTTTTATGCCTTCGTGTCGTCTTTTTGTTTGCTTGAGCTAAATATATAGTGCTTATTAAGGTTCTCCCAGTAAAATTGTTCAAAAACACTTGTTTTCGTTTCTATTGATTTTTGCCTTATATGTGTGTGGCAATATTATTAGCCACATAACTCTTCAATTCTAACTATGTTGGCATAAAGTTGTCTTGGTTGCAGTTAATGCCTTTTCCCTATAATTTTCCCTCGTTGCTGGCATCCATTCATTCGCTGAACGCATAATACTTAGTGAGCACCTGCTGTGCTGGGGACACACTAGTGAGCAAAACAGGCAAGAATCCTTGGCCTTGTGGAGTTTTCTTTCTAGTTGGAGAAAAATAAACAAAATTTTTGAAATGAACAGAAGTAAACAGTAAAACATCGCGTGTTCGAGGCTGATAAATGCGGCAGAGAAAAGTCAATAAGAAACGGGGATAGGGAATGCCAGGGGGAGAGCTATTCAGATTTCATAGGGGGCTCAGGACAGAACTCACTGAAAAGGTGACCTGTGCAAAGACCTGAAGGGGCGAGGAAGTGAGCCATGTGGGTATCCGTGGAGAGAGCGTCCTGGACAGAGAATGGCAAGTGCAAAGGGCTGGAGGCAGGAGCGTGCCTGGCAGTTTGAGCAGCAGTAAGAAGCTTGTGTTGCTGGAGCTGGATCCATGAGGGGTGGCCTGGGGGGTGCTTGGGAGATCCCGGGGGGCCTTGCAAAGACTTTGTCTTCTACCCTGAATACGATAGGGAGCGAGGAATTAACGAGATCTGATTTACCTTTTAATGTGTCCGCTCTGGTTGCAGAGCAGTAGATCCTTTCTGCCTAGTAGATCCTTCCCCGTTCTTTTATGTTTTATTTTACTACGTCTTTCGGTCTTGTGTGACAAGCGGCATGTTGCTGGCTTTTTTAAAAAAGAAAAATAAAAACTGAAACTTGAAAGTCTTTTTTTCCACAGGGAAATGTTTTAATGTTTATGGTTTTAATTACCATGTTTCTCTTAGGGTGTTTCTGTTTCTAAAGTTTTTTTTTTCTTTCCTATGTCATTTTTTTTTTATCTCCTTCTGAACAGATAACTATTACCTTAAATCATTGTTATCTTACAATTATGCTCTTTTAAACTTTTTTGTTACTACTGATAATGACATTTTGGTCTTATTTAAAAAAAAATAAATAAGGCTTCGGATTCAGACTTTCGAGGTTAGAATTTTTATTCCACCACTTCCTAGCTGTGTACCCCTGGGCAAGTTACTTAGCCTCTCTGTGCCTTGTTTCCTCATTTGGAGATAATAATGGTAATAGCAAATTAGTTCATTTAAGTGAGGTGTCCAATGTCTAGCAAAAAGCACCAAGTGTTAGTCATTATTGTTAATTGAATAATTATTAGAAAAATATAAATAAGCACTCAGAAAATACTATCCAGAATGCCATTACTCAGAGATAATCACTACTGACACTATTCAGAGTCCGAGTGTGCATAGCATATGGACCCCTGCCTGCCATTCCAGGTGCTGACATCTCGGTTACCTCCTGAATATAGATGGGAATTGGTGACCCTCATCTGGTCCCTGACGGTCTGATCCAGGGTGGTTGGTCGGGCTCTGTTGGGGTTCTCTTTACTGATGACATCCTATACATCCCTCCTTTATCTGTGTGTTCCCAAGGGTGAGACCCCAAATGACTTCATTTATTTATTTATCTTTTTAGAATTTCAACTCTTTTTTTTCCCCCTTGCTTCTCAGACCTTGCAGGGATGAACCAAACGGCTTTAGATAGTCCACAGTTAGGGCATAAGTAATACTGAATTGTACCCCGAGAGAGCTATTCTTTTGTCGATACTCCTTCAATTCTTCAGACAGAAAGTCTTGGAGTGTTCTGGTATGTCCTTAACACTTTTTAGTACTTGCTCTTTGCTGATCGCCTATTAAAAGGGAAGGGGGTGGAGGCTTTAGGCTCAGAGCCTTTGCAAGCAACATCATCTACTTGAACTTGAATAACGTTTATTTGCATTTGTTTATCTTTTTTTTTTCTTTATGTTACTTTCTACTTGTAACAAATGATATTGGCTTTCTTTTCTAGGAAGAGATATAAAGTGTAGCAAAATCCATAGAGGTAGCGTCTGAATGGATAAAGTTTACCAAACACAGCTCTAGATTCTCCTTCTATTACTTTAATTTACAGAAATTCCTGGAAGTTCCTGTTGTGTGGATAGCACTCTTCTTGATTTCCAGCAAAGATACAGATGTTCTCTTATTTTTGTATTTCTTTTGGTAATTCCCATGGAAATTTGGAAGAAGAGAATTGAATATTAAATGTGGAGGCGTAGAGGCTCAAATTGTCATCTCTGCTTTGAATCACCTAGCCCCCTGTTTTCGGAAGCTGCCTAGGAAGATTTGTGAATGGAGAAAAAAAATATTGTGATGAAAATTGTAAATTTGGGTTAGGGATTATCTTTTGGAGTGAGGAGTTTTGGGGTCTTCCCCGCCACTACTGACTCAAATGCCTTTGGAATGTCTCTTTTCCTTCCTCACTCTCATCTCATCCTTTGACTGAATGGAAACATCTTTGTGGTCAAGAAACAAACTGAAGCCACCATGTTTATTACAATAATATTAGTAGCAGTAATAATGACAACGATGACAATGAGTTTGCTTATTGAACACTGGCTGAGTGCCAAGCACTGCGCTTATCATTTTACAGGCATCATGACATTTCAACGTCACAGCAATTTTATGAAAAAGGGACTTGTATTCCAATTTATTAATATAGATGAGAAAAACAGAGGCTCAGAGAGCCTAACCAACTCATCCAAAGTTGTCCAAGGAGGCAAGGACGGAAGTGAGATTTGGGCTTATAGGCTTAACCACTAAGGGATATCATTTCTCAACAGGTTGAATACAGCACACTGTGGACAAATTTCTGCAGAGAAAAATACCATCCTAAAGATAAGTCATCCAAATGCAGCTGAATGCCAGGATGGCAAGGTGGCAACCTGTGTAAGATGAAATGTAGAAATACTCGAGGAGCAAGATAGGAATACATTTACAGTGAGGAGACTTTGTAGCGTTCTTTCAGAATAAGAAAGCACTTAATGGACAAAAATAGGTAAAAACATACAGTAATTGAATAATGTAGCTAAGAAAACTGTGTGTATGTGTATAGAGAGAGAACTTTGTATCCCATAAACACATAATATACATTTTTTTCTGATGTCCGTGGAATAGTTACAAAAATATATAGTATACCTGGCTACAAACCCACCCATACCCACCCCCACATGCCCAAAACCAAAACAAAACAAATTTTAAAAACCTCAACACATTTTTTTTAGGTAGAGGTTTTTCTAGGCCTCCTTTTTGTATCCTTATCAGCAAAATAATATTGAGTCATGGAATTTGTCCTGCCTCCTTGTCGCCCTCTAGGTTTAAGTTACTGAGCCAGGAGGAAGGCGAATACTTCAATGTGCCTGTGCCGCCGGAAGGAAGCGAGGGCAACGAAGAGCTGCGGCAGAAATTTGAGGTGAGGTTTCTTTCTTTCTTTCTGCATCAGGGGGAGCCAGTTAGGTCTGTGGCTGTGCTGTTTCCCCTGCTTATGGTGTGGTTTCTACCAAGACCTTTCATGACTCTGAGCCTTCGCCGTGCTGTTCCATCCCCGTAGAAAACTCCTATTTGTCCTTCAAAACCCCAGTTACATGTCCCTTGCCTTGTGAAGTCATTCCTGCCTCACTCTCCTCTTTCAGATTTAGACATTTCTTCGAAAGCACTCGTTCACTGCCCAGGTCATTTTGATGGTGACGTGGACAGGAATGGTAGCAGTCATGGTAACTGGCAGAAGTGCACAGGGTAGTGCTAGATGTTTTGCAGGCTGGGTCAAATAGGCTTGCTGATGGATGGAATCTGGGTTTGGAACTATTGGCAGGATGGTGCTACGCTGTTAACAAATGGAATTGATTGTGCTGGTGACGTCATGGGTAGATCTTCCCAGAGAATAATTCTATCAGAGGAATAGTCTTTGGCTCTGACCTTGAGCGGTACAGCTGGCTCTGCTCCCATCCAAGAGAAACCCCTTCCCTTCTGAGGGGACAGATAAAATGCCATTTTCAATTATATGAGAGCGGCAGATGTATAGAACACATCCCAGTTTTACAAAGGAAATGTTTTGGGGAAGATGAATTTGAGTACTTACATTATGTGTGCATTGAATGATTTTAAAGTAGTTTCATGAGGGAAAACACATTATTTTGCGCACACAAACTCAATATACCGAGTCTGGTGGAAAATCAATTCTAGATAAGTGGTGATGGCCTACTAACCCTGAAAAAAAGGTATAAAATAGCATAGGTAAAATGAAGTGGATTATTATTATTGTTATTCTTCAAATAATTACACAAGGAAATAAAAAACTTTGTAAAGACCCTGTAAAGTTCTGGGAAAGAGAGATCAGGCACTTTGAGAACATATAAGAGGGAAATGTCACGTTGTCTGAGAGGACAAGGAAGATGTCATGGGGGAAGCAACAGTGGAAGTTAACCAAGTAAAAAATGGGGAAAGAGTATTCCATTCGGCAAGAACAGCAAGCGCAAAGGCCCTGTGGTGGGCAGATATATAGCAACAATGTGAGACTGAAAGAAGGCCAGTGTGGGTAGAGCAGAGAAAGCCAAAGGGTGAGTCCAAGGTAAGGCTGGGGAAGTGGGTGAGGGTCAGAGTAGCAGGACTGTGTTGGCCTAGCAAGGATTTTGGCATTTATCCCAAGAGCCATGTTAGTTTTTCCCTCAACTTGACAGAAATAGAGCATAGGTATTCCCAGGTCCCTGTCTTGAGCCCATGTCCTCTACACAGCCCAGTTGATGGTGATGGTCCTGGTCCAGTGGGGTCTCCCTTCCTGGAAACAAGTGGAATAAACACATTGCCCTTGAGCTTATCAGCCATTCTCCAGTGACCTTGATAACAGAGGGTCATTCCCATAGTTTTGGGCTCAAGCCCAAGTGAGTTGATAAAAGGACTTTCCCTCCAAATAGAGCTGAGAACTGGATGCTATTTGATAAAAAATAGGAGAGGAAGGCAGTCCTTCCAGAGAACACTTTGCAACTCTTCCCCTCAACATTCTGACAAAGCGGTGTCCATTTGCTGCTGCGTTAGAAACATACTATTATGGGTGAAAAAACAAGGCCGGTATCTTCTTGCATACAATGAAGTCTCAGTTTTGCAAAATGATTTCTTCTGTCCTGGGGCAGCTGGGATGACATTTCAGAACACCAAGGAAAACATTTCCTACGTGAACAGAGCATTTGTCTGGGCCAGTAATTGGCTTGGAGTAAAGGACTGTTTTATCTGCATGCAACAAAATGTGTCCCTTTATTTCTAGCAAGCTCCTGCAAATGCTTGTTTATGCCTGAATTATAATCACTCCATACTGTAGTTGTTGATTTAAAAAATTGTTTCCAAAAGACTGAAAATTGTTCTCAGACTCACAGAGGAACTTCAGTTGACCTTGAACATGAGAAAGTAATCCCTGTGCAATAACCAATTAGCACCTGGAAATGACTCAGAAATTACTTTCAAGCCTCTTATCTGGGGGAATTCTGAGTGACAGTACAGTCGAGCTGCTGGAATCGGGGTAATAGAATTTCATGGTAGTGTGAGCTTGGTGCAGTTACCACACGTGGTATATCGCAGAACGTCAGAGTTGGTTCTGTGTGGGGGGCTTCCAGTCCGACCGTGGGCTTGCCGATGGGCCAGGCAAGAGAAGACTCCATTTTGGATGGTTCAGAATGGGATTTTATTTAGCAAAGTGCTTGCTATGTGCCAGTTATTATTCTAAGTGCTTTGCAAATATTAACCCATGTATTTTAGTCTTTATAACAACCCTGAATGGTGGTTACTATTATTACCCTCATTTTTCTTTTACAAATGAGGAAACTGAGGCCCAGAGAAGCTAAGTTAACTTTTCAAGGTCCCTGAGCTGGTCATTGTCCTGGTTGGAGTTTCCCCAGAAACAGACCCTAAGGATTCAAGTGCAAGTAGTTTATTTGGGAGGTGATCCTGGCAGCACCATAGGGTAGTGGGACAGTGAGAAAAGAAAATGCAGGAAACCAGGAAAGGAAGGATTATCAAGCCAGTTACTGCTGTGGGCAACTGGAACTTAATCCTGCTGGAGAATTCTGTGCTGGGAGTCAGCACAGAATTCATGCCCTGGAGCTGCCCAACCAAGCCACAGGAAGCTGAGGTGCCAGCTCCCTTTGCATTGCAGGTTGAGGGCTGTTCCCAGGGGAATTCACTGGCCCACACTTTCAATGTGTCCTCCTTGTGGGCTGTACTTGCTCCTGCAACCAGAAAGTAAGCCTGCAGGCAGAGAGTCACAGGTGTTTGCTGTAAGCCTGCAGGTAGAGTCACAAGTGTTTGCTGTGAGCAGCTCCAGGTGTACGAGCATGCTAGCGGGGTCTTGTTGGAACGCCAGTGGCCACATCTGTGCAGTGTAGCCTAGTGGTTAGGTGCACTGGTTGGAGTGCCAGGCTGCCTGGATTTGAATCTCACTTCTACCACTTCTTTGCTGAGTGGCCGTAAGCAAGTTACGTTGTCTCCCTGAGCTTTCAACTCATCTGTAAAATGGGGAATTATAGCAATTCTTATCTCATAAGGTTATGTGCGGCTTGAATGAGGTAATGCATTTAGAAAAGTATCTGGCACGCTGTGAGCATTCAGATGTTAGGTTGCTGGTATCATTGTTATCGTTATCAGCTTCCCCCAACCCCTTGGCATAAATAAAACTCAGAACATGCTCCTTCCGGGTGTTGGAAGGGCTCCTTGGGGGTTAGGGAGAATCCACAGGGCTTTCTAGCCTGCAGAGGTCTTTGCCTCCACTGCTGGGCAGCTGGGCGTGCCCGTAGTAACTCTTTGTAGGGGTGGATGGCAGAGGAGTCTGTAGTTCAAGCCAGGACAGGTGTTCATCATCTGAGATGAAGCCTGGAGCCAGGGCACGAGGACGCATCCACCCTCCCCTAGTGAAGGCTGGAGAGTGGCATGGCTCTTTGCTCGGAAGTGTTCTCTGTTTGCTTTCTCTTTGAGCACTGAGTTCAAGGGCTCTAAACTGCTGACGTGAAAAGGCAGCCATTAGTGTATTCCTGTTTCCGAAGGCCTAGCCTACCCAGCCAGATAAAGGACAACTTTAATTTGGGTCTCAGTCTTCAAATGTTCGCTCTCTGATGGAACACGTGCCAGACATGAGGCCCTTGGAACAATGGGATATTTAGAAGGACACAGGACAGGGTTCTCATCCTCTGAAGGTTGGCTGTGTAGGGGTCACAGATGTTTTCAGGAGCCGGCAGATAACAAGGAGGGGAAAGTGCTCAGCCCCACCTAGTGTCACCAAGACCTACATCTCCAAAAGAAGCTGGGAATCCGGGTTTTTATAAAACATCTCCAGATTTCCAACAGTTGGCAACTAATTAAATATTAAAATAACAACAAACACTGTGCAGACCAGACCAACAGGGTTATTAGCCTTCTGATCTAGATTCTAGAAGTTGAATTAACATACCCATGAGAAACCTTCCAAAAGCAAACTAGGATAAAGTAAGGAAAGAGGGCAACGGGCCCCGAATTCAGAGGAGGGAAGAAGGGAGCTTGCAGGGCTGAGAGATGAGGCTATTAGCCACTTGTTGCTCCTTGAAGGACAGGGAAAAAAAAAAAAAGCAATAAAAAAATTCCTTAGTTTACTAAGCAAAGTCAAGTCGAATGAAGAAATTGGGAAGTTGAGCACCACACTCACGCTTCACTGGACGTGGGCGCTGGGACCTACAAGTGGATGGGCAGGAAAACCTAAGATGGGACCTGGGGACCGGGACAGTCAGGACTTGGACCTTCACAGGTTGGAGAATGGAGTGCGTGAATCTGATGGGTCCAGAGTTAGGATCCAAAGAAGGTGGGAGACTGAGTCACGAAGTGTGAGATGGTTGGGCGGGGAGGGCAGAGGGATGTGTTTGGGTCAGCCCAGCCCGGGCAAACCTCGGGAGCTTTGGAGGGCACCAAGAAAAGGGGGCAGCTTCTGTCCTAGCCTGGCTCTTTCCTTATTTGCAGTCTGCGCTTGCAAATAAGATTATCTCACGGTTTTAACTACCCCCCTCCTTTGCCTATAACTTCCAAATCTCTGTCTCCAGATATCTTTTCTCAACCCCAATCCCACCTATACCACTGCTTACTGGGTATTTACCCTTGGTTGTCCCAGAGACGTGTAAACCTCCACATACCTTACTGCAGAATAACCTGACCAGCATGTTCCTAGCAGCCTTGTTAGCAGGCTGAAAGCGGAAGCAATCTAATGCTGTAAACAGGAGAGTGGATAAACATGAACAATGAGTGCCGCTCGGCAACACAAAGGAACAAATTACCGATTCATGCAACAATGTGGATGAATTTCAAGAACACTCTGATGAGTGGAAGAAGCCAGACACAAAAGAGTACGCACTCCACGATGCTGCGTAGATGAAATCCGAGAACAGACAAAACTGACCTATGGGGAGAGAAATCAGAACAGAGATTGCCTTAGTGGGAGGGAGGATTGGGTGGGAACTTTCGGCGGTGATGGAAATGTTCTGTATCTTGTTCGGGGTTTGGATTACATGCGTGTCTGCAGTCGTCAAAATTCACAGAACTGTACACTTGAGATTTAGACATTTCACTGTATCCCCTGCCTCCATTTTTAAAGTATTAATTACAAAAAGAGAAAAATGGGGGATGCTGTGTTAGCCATGGTCTCTAAATGATGGGGGAGCGTGCACCCTTGAGGAAGAAGTAAACCGTGCAAGTTCAAGCCACTGCGGGGAAGGGGGGATCTCAACATGTCTGAAATCAGAGGGGTCATCTCTGCCCACCCTCATGCCACACTTCCAAACCTGCTCCTCCTTTTCCACCTTTTTTTTTTTTTTTTTTTGAGACAGAATCTCACTCTAAAGCCCGGGCTAGAGTGTGGGGACGTCATCATAGCTCACTGCGACCTCCAACTCCTGGGCTCAAGTGATCCTCCTGCCTCCGCCTCCCAAGTAGCTGGGACTGCAGGCATGCACCATCATGCCTGGCTAATTTTTCTATTTTTTGTAAAGATGGGGGTCTCACCATGTTTCCCAGGCTGGTCTCAAACTCCTGGCCTCAAGTGATCCTCCCACTTCAGCCTTCCAAATTGCTGGGATTACAGGTGTGAGCCACTGTGTCTGGCCCTCTTCCACTTTTCATCTCAGTGGAAAGAACCACCATCCTCCCAGTTCCCCACAACAGAAGCTGGGGAGCTGTTCTTCATCTCTGACGTCCCTTCTCCCACATCAGTCCTCAACCCAGCTGTGATACGTCTGTCTCCCAAACAGGCCACCTTCATTCCATCTACACTGCGGACACCTGAGTTCAGACCCCACCTTTTCTCTCCTTGATAACTGAAATCACTTCCTAATGGTCTCCAAACTCACTTCCTTCAAATGAGTCTCTTCACTCCACCCAGAGTGATCTTCTGCATGTAGCACGATCACACCACGGCCCTGCTTAAAACCTTCCAAAAGCTGCTGGCCACTCTCAGAATCAGCCCAAATGTCGCAATGTGGTTTGCAAGGTCCTTCTCACCTTTCAGCTGCCTTCCCTGCCACATCCACCTTGCACTTCATGCTCCACCCGGACGGCCAGTGTTTAGTTCCTCAAATGAGTCTTTCTCTCTGTTCCACAAATGCCATTCCTGCTGCCAGCACCACTTTCTCCGCCTGGATAACTCCAACATACCTTTTGGACACAGGGGGGAGGACCCAGTCCCTGCTAGAATGCACATTCTTTGAGCGCCAGTATCTGTTGTGCTCCCTGATATATTTTCAGCACCTAGAACAGCACCTGGCACATGGCAGGCACTCAATAAGTATTTCTTGTTTTTTTTTCCTTTTATTTCAGCATATTATGGGGGTATAGATGTTTAGGTTACGTATGTTGCCCTTGGTCCCCCCCCCACAATAAGTATTTCTTGAATGAATTAATTAATTAATCTTCCCCGATATTCAAAACCCAGAAAAGATTTTCATTGTTTTCTTGTCTTCAAAAGATAACTGAATTTGAAACTCGGACTTAGTGGGGGAGGGAGGGGCAAGGGCAACATACGTAACCTAAACATCTGTACCCCCATAATATGCTGAAATTAAAAAAAAAAGATAACTGAATAAGGCAACAATACTAATAGCTTCCATCCACTGAGCATCCATTGCGTGCCAGGAATGGTGCTAAGAACCCTATGGTACATGATGTCATTCTCTCCATTGTCTTGAAAAAGGGACCAAGATTTAGAAAGGTTCAGTCACCCGATGCAAGTGAGTACCTTCTCTGCACCAGGCACTACTCTAGGTACCAGGGAAACAGTGGAAAACAAAACAGACAAAACCCTTGCCCTCAGGGAGCTTACGTTCTGGTGTGAGCAGAAAGACAGTAAATTAAGAAACAAGTAAACATACAGTCTGTAAGATGGTGACAAGTGATCTGGTTTATAAGATGGTGACAAGTGATCTGGAGAAAGTCGAGTAAGGGGAATGGAGATTGCTGAGAGCAATTTTATGCAGGGTGTTCAGGGAGGGGCAGGGGTTCTGGCGAGAGAATATTCCAAGCAAAAGGAACAGCACGTGCAAAGTCCCTGGGGCAAGAGCACGTTTGGTACGTTCAGAGAACAGCTAGGAAGTAGCAGCCAGTGTGGAAGTAGCAAGGAGGCTGAAATGAGAGAGGTGCAGAGGGGCCAGGTCACCTGTGGCCTTTGGCTTTTGCTCTGAGAGAAATGGGAAGGGATAGGATGTGTGTGCAGAGGGGTGCCATGAGCCACCTGACTTTGCTCAGGGCCACACAGCTGATCCGTGTCAGAGTCAGGAGTCTGAGCCCAGCTTTTAGCTCCACAGTGTTCTCTCTGCTAGCAGTGAGTCCAGTACCAAACTCCCACAGCACCTGCTGCCTCTCTGAGCCCCCCTCCTGCCACTCACAGCAGGGAGCTCTGCACTGAGGACAAACACGGGCCCCAACTCACCTGTTTATTCAATAGATATTTGGCTGGGAACTATGCTAGTCATCAGGAAAATCACAGAGAATGAGAAACATTCCCAGTCCTTGTAGAGTTCTGGTTTATTGGAGGGGAACAAGCAAACAGCTATCATCTAATATTAATGGGAAGTGAAGTGGATGGAAGGAAATCTACTGCAGACAGAGAATCAAGGAAGGCTCCCCTGAGGAAGTGAAAATGTGACGCAGTGGGTAGCTAGCTCAGCAAAGGGGACAGAATAGCTATGCATACAGCAGTAGCAGCAGCAGGTCCAAAGGTCCTGAGGGAGGTGGAGCCTGGGACATTCAGGGGAGTGAAAGGAGAATGAAGCTGATTGACAGGGAAGAAGGCCACTAGAAGTGATGAGGTTGGAGATCCAGGTAGGGCCTGATCCTAGAGGCCAGTGAAAGGACTTTGATCTTTACCTTAAAAGTAATGGGACGCCACTGAAGCATTTCCAGCAGGAGTTGACTTGGCTGGGTGAGCAGCTCACTCGGGCTGCGTGTGAAGCCCAGCGAGAAGGGATTCGGTGTGCGTTGTCCAGGTGAGCGAGGATGGCAGGTGGTGGTGGGGGAGATGGAAAGAAGTAGATGAATTCTGGAGACAGCTGGGAGGGAAAAAAATGACAGTTCCTGGCAACGGATGAGACATGAAGGATGAAAGGGAGGTGGAGGTACCAAGGACGGCCTCCAGGTCTCAGGCTTGCAAAGCGGAGGATGTAGCGTCATGCTTTTCCCGTGCATGGGATGCCCGGGCTGCAGGAACCACCGCTTCCGGTGTTCATGTGTGTCTTCCTACAAGGGCATGCTCAAACCCCAATAATGTTCTCTGTGTGCTTCCTCCTCCAGAGGGCCAAGATCGGCCCAGGAACCAAGGTTCCAGAAGAAAAGACGACCAACACCATATCCAAATTTGACAACAATGGCAACAGGGACCGGATGAAACTGACCGATTTTAACTTCCTGATGGTGCTGGGGAAAGGCAGCTTTGGCAAGGTACGGTATGATTTGGTGGCTGCACCTGCTCAGGAAGGAACATCTAACAAGGCAGGCACATTGCTGTTTGTCACAAACAAATCAAAAGGGGACCCACTCAGACTGTCTGAGGAGGTGACATTTAAGCTGAGACCTGAAGGATGAGAATGAACCAGCTACGCCTTCAAAGAGCTAGCAGAGAACATCCTCAGCAGAGAGAATAGCAAGTGTAAAGGTCCTGAGGTCAGGAAGGGCTTGGTGCATTCCAGGGTATCAACAGAAGATGTTGGGACCAAAACATCATGAGGAGGAGGAGGCTGTAGGATGTGACATTATAGAGGTAAGCAGGTGCCTGAACACACAAAGCCTTATGAGCTATGATGAGGAGTTTGGATTTTATTCACAGTGTGATGGGGAGCCATCGAAAGTTTTTAAGCAGGGAAGTGACACGATCAGATTTGCCTTTTGGAAAAGATTACCCTGGCAGCCCAGAAAGGAAACAGTCCCTTTCAAACAGTGGCACAGTGGAAGGATGACCCTGGGACTCATAGAGTGATTCTGGATGCATTTATAGATACCATGAGACACTGTTTCACTGGAGTTGAGGTTGTGTTATAAGCATTCCTGACTTGTTTAGTGTTGCTTTGAGTCTTTTAATCCCTTTGTGTGCCATAAAGATGTCTAGCATAAATCTCATAGCACAAACTCAGGTGTGCAAAAAATATAAATTTCTTCCCCATCTCTGTAGCTTAAGCCCCAAATCTGGGGGTTATCCTTGAGTTCCCCCTCTTTCCTTCACCCCTTACTCCCTGGCCCTCTCACGTGCAATCCGTCAGTGAACCCTGACAGCTCCTTCAAAGCATCTTCGCTCATGCAATCCTAATCTAAACCGTACAGATCACCTGGACAGCTACAGAAGCACCTAACTGGTTTCCCATTCCCGGTCCTGTTACTTATAATCAATATACTCTCTACTTAGCAACCATAACAATTTTTTAAAGTTTACTTTAGGGCAAGGCGCCTTCCTGCTTAAAACCCTCCCATGACTTCCCATTGTGATTAGAATCAATTCTATACTATGTCCTAGGCGTACAACGCCCTTTGTGATCTGCCCCTTGTTCTCGGCTTGACTTTTTCTTCTCTCCGTCACCCGCTGTGCTCTGGCCACTGAAACACACAAAGCTCCTTACTCCCTTAGAGCTTTGGCCATGCTGCTCCCTTTGCTCTTTGTGTGGCTGGTGCCTTCCTGTAATTCACTTCTCAACGTAGACTTCACCTCTTCTGAAAGGTCTTCCCTGAACACCCACTCAAAGTAGCCACTCACTTGTTCTCCATAACCCCCACGACTGGGTGATACTCTTCCTGTTTCTTTATTCGTTGGTCCCTCTTCCTTTTCTAAAATCTAAGTTCAACAAGAGGGGCTGGGCATGGTGGCTCACGCCTGTAATCCCAGCACTTTGGGAGGCCAAGGTGGGAGGATCACTTGAGCCCAGGAGTTTGGGACCAGCCTGGGCAACATAGTGAGACCCCCATCTCTACCAAAAATTTTAAAAATTAGCTGAGCATAGTGGCCCCCACCTGTAGTCCCAGCTACTTGGGAGGCTGAGGCAGGAGAATTGCTTAAGTCCATGAGTTTGAGGCTGCAGTGAGCTATGATTGTACCACTGCACTCCAGCCTGGGCAACAGAGCAAGACTCCATCTCTGAAAGAAAAGAACAAAAAACCCAGAGTAGGGATCTTCTGTGTCTTGGTCACCACTATGTTTCCAACGCCTTTGGATCGAATTCATTCTGTTCCTAGATGGGATGCAAGGATTTTCTCTGTCTATGGGTGGCAAGGACCTCTGTTGAGATGGAATAAGGGGTCTGAGCTGATGGCCCAAAGTTGGAAGACCCTTGGCACAGAATGGGAGTAGAGAGTAAGGACACTCAGTAAGATTGCCGAGCAGTTCTGGGGTCCCCGAGGTTAGAGCATAGGCAGTTGGCAGTGTCCACACCGTTGTGTGATTTTTGCTGGTAGCTCTAAGCAGCCCGCATGTGGGGCTGGAGAAGATGGTGGGTTTGAGCTGAGCTGCAGATTTGCAGGATCAGTGAACCACAAGATCCTTAACAGGGAGTTAAGGATTCTGGGCAGAGAGACACCCACTGCAGATGCACAGAGCCCAGCCTATCACAGGTGCTCAGTAAAAGTGTGTTGAATGAGTGAATGAAAATGGTATCTAGACTGGGTGGGGAAAGAAGTCTAGCAGGAAGAGGGTCATTGCCTGGGTGGGGAAAAGAGGGGTTTAGAAGTCTAGGGATGAAAACCAAATGCATGAGGCCAAGATATTTAAAATGTTAGGAAGAATAGAGACATCTAGATTTCAAGATAGAGCAGTTTCCCTGATGATGGGGAAGAAAGGGGCCTACAGAAAGAAGAGGTTCTAATAAGCTGAGTCTTGGGGGAAGTTTTCAAAAATTAAATTCTATTTCTTATACACGATGTATTCACATGGCTCGTAATGAAAATGATATTGAGAGGACAAACACTGAGAAGTCTTGCTCTCACCCAGGTTCACATCCTTCTGTGACGCCTCACTGCAACTGCCATCCCTGTGTGAACACGTTTGTTAATTCTGTTTGCATCTTTCCAGTCTCTCCATGCTAATTTAACATTTTTATTCTTGTCCTTCTTAACGCAAAAGTTAGTGTACCATGCACATTTTTGATCACTTAACAATTTAGGCTGGAAAATTTTCGATGGAGGAATGAAAGTTCTGGAAGGCCTTATGGAAGGGATTAGAGTTGGGGCTGGGGAGGTGGTGTAGTGGGAGAACGGATCATTGGGGAACAGAGAGAGAATGAGAGAGAATAGATCATATGTTTCCATGGAAACTGTTATAATAATTGAGAGTTCTGTTCCAGACTGCAGATGTAGCATCAAATAAATCATAGATGAAAACAAGAGCATGTCATGAAAGCAAAGTAGAATAACAAACACCTCTATGATCCTTTAAAACATATAGTAATCCTTTGTAACTCTAGGTTTGCCACCTAGGGTTTTAAATTAATGCAGGTTTTATATTTGAATGCCTACTTTGAATATTTTGCAGTCTGATTAGGTACATAGATCAATCCCCATAAACAGAAGAACACAGACGCAGTGATTTGAGATGAAAGAGATCAACCTTTGGGGTAATCTGTTTATACCTCCCCTCCCCCAGGTCCACTGTTTCAGATCCGGCCCTGAAAAACATGCTCTTAAGCACTGTAATAATTTGTGAAGTGACTAGGGAATGACACAAGCACTTTGCTAAGACCTGTGAAAATGAAACAAGGGAGAAAGCAAGTGTGAAGGCCATTGAATTCCAAACGAGTAAGCCCTGTTTCAAAAACTTTAAAAAGAAGAACAATTTGGAGAGATTATTTTCCCAAACCGGTGAAGGCATTTACCTGGAAGGGTTATATTACCAGAGCAAGACCTGTTGGCACGTCTGGCTTACGTGCAGATAGATAGATGCCTTCCAGCATTCCGATGTTTTATTCATTTATTATTTAATGTTGCTTCTTACAGTTTTATCCTTAACTCTCTGTATTTATGATTCCTTGAATCTCTAACATGGGCTTTGCCAACCTTTACACCTTTTAAGAATTTAGCCTCTGTGGTTGTCGGATGGTTGCTGGAGTTAACATTGTGCTGCACATATATAAATTGGGCAGATATGGGTTGTCCAGCTTGATTATACGAGTTTACCTTATAAAGTAAACACAGCAAGTACCTGATAAAGTATATACACAGCATAAATACAACTCCTTACGTTACAGACTTGATTCCTCTAACCCTAATGTGCTGCCGCAGTAAGCATCCATTAAATAGTTGATTAATGCTAACACTGTTTGTCTTCTTAGACTTTGTGTGTGCTATTGGTGATGATTTGTATGATCTAAGTCTTTTTAAAAAGTTATGCTGGAAAGTCTGAATGGAGGCTTTCTTATTCTCTTACACCCCTGACTCTGGCCAGTGGAAGGTACTGCGCTGAAGTATGTGTGTCGGGGCAGGGAGGGGGACATAGGACGGGCCTGGGGGAGGCACCTGGAATGCCGTAGTGGACACAGACCTACGAACATAAAGAAGCTCAAAACCAAGGCACAGAAGATCTATGTAAAGTGATATTTACTGGAAAATGATTGGTAATAGAAAAAATGGAAATAGCCCAAATGTTCATTAATAATGTGAAGGTTAAAGATATAATGGTATGTCCATGATACATTAAAACAAAGAAGTGTTTCTCTCCTCTTTCTCTCTCTCTCTGATACACACACATCTACCTAACATCATAGATTTTCATGACATAATATCAAGTAAAAATAAAAGCAAATCACAGAACATTGTGATTAGTAACATAAAATATACTGTATATAGGCTAATTACCTTTATGTAATACACTCATGGTCCCTGCTCTCACTGAACCTTTTCCCCAGCACGTCATTATGAAAATTTTAAAAATACAGAAAAGTTGAAAGAATTACACAATGAACATCTATAATATCCACCACTGAGATTCTACAAATAACATTTGACCGTTTCTGTTTTACTGTATCTGTCCATCTACCTATGTCCCTATCAACCCATTTTAATGATTTCAGAGCAAGTTGCAGCCATCTGTACCCTTTAGACTCAAATTTTCAGCATCATTTAGCCAGAATTCAATATGTTTTAATGATCATTTTAAAGGTATTATAAAATTTACCTACGACAGAATGCACGTGTCTGAAGTGTATCGTTCCATGAGTTTCGAAAATGCATACTTTAAAACGCAATGGGGGTATAAACATCAAACAAATCACACTCACAGATGTGAAATGCAGCTCAGCTGTGATGATTTGTTGTGTGAAGTGGGAGCCTGGGCTAGTGGGGTTTGCAGTAGTTGAAGTCGGTGAAGGCTTCCGTGAGAAAGTGACTCCGGCTGCATCTAAAGGATGAGCAAACTATGCAGAGAGGGGAAGGAGTAAATGAAAATCTCAGAACGTCTCTTTGTTCCT